ATAGGGTTGCTATGAGTTGCATATGACTTGAGGACACATAACAACAACAACAATCCCCTCCGAGTTAGAACCTACCTATAGCTGAATATCCATTGGGTTTCTAAAGCTGTAAAGCACATGCAAAGGGATTGCCCCCCTTTATCCTGTGAGGTCCCTGGTGGATTCGAACCACTGTAAGAGATGCTGCTGTCTCTGTGCAGCAATGTGACTCTCTCCTCACTATGTCCCTCAGGATTATTACATTTACGCTAGATTAAAAGCCTTTATCTGCATTAAGTAAAAGGGAACACCGTGGAATGAACCAGTTCAGGTACTTTCTCTCTGAAAGGAGTTGTTATGTGCCATCGAGTCGCTTGCGACTCATAGCGACCCTATGTACAAGAGCTCTAAATGCTGTTCTATCCTGCGCCAACCTAGCCATCTCAAACGCACTTATTCCCACCGCTCCAGTCACAGAATCGATTCCTCTCACCAAAGGTCTTCCTCTCCTTCGCTTCCCCTCCACTCTGCCAAACATGATGTCCCTTTCCAAGGACCAGTCCCTCCTTGCAACATGCCCAAAATATGTCAGACGAAGCTTCAGAATCCTTGACTCCAGGGAACACTCTGGCTTCACCCTCTCCAGGACAACCCTGTTTGTTCTCCTAGCAGTCCATGGTACATTCAACACTCTTCTCCAGCACCACAGCTCAAAGGCATCAATCCTCTTTCTATCAGCCCTATTCACTGTCCAACTCTCTGATGCATAGCACATAACTGCGAAGACTATAGCCCGGATCAGGCGCACCTTAGTCTCCAGCCTGACATTGTTGCTTTTCAGTACTCTTGAGAGGTCCCTCACAGCTGACTTTCCCAGTGCAATTCATTTCCTGATTTCCTGGCTGCTGTTACCAAGAGCACTGACTGTGGAGCCAAGTAAATTAAAACTGTTAACTATCTTTTTTTTTTTGTCCATTTTATTTGCACTGTTTATTACATCTCTAGAAAAAGAATCCCAGGATTTTTCCTCCTGTGTGTTTTCGTCTTGCTTCCTCGTGGTCCATGATGCCAGCTGAGGTTGTCAATACAATGAAACCAAACTGACGGGACGGGAGCAGATTATTCTGCCACTTTTCTACATCTTTGAGCTGCACATCAAATCTGGGGCGGATAACGCCACACTTGTTTAACCTGCCTGTGAGGTTGACAACAATTTTCCTCGCTCTGTGATCATCAATGATTTCAAATTCGCCAATGTAGCCATGCTTCATCATCACGGTCAGGAACCGCACGATGACTTTGGAGCACGGCCTGATGAGAACCTGGCGCTTGCCTCTCTTCTCGGCATTGTTGATGCTCTTGAAAGCGTTGGCCAGGACGTTCATGCGCACCATCGTGGCGGCACGGAAAGATGGCGGAAAGAGAAAGGGAGGGGCGAGCGCACGGAGTTATGGGAACTGTTAACTATCTTAATCCATGCTGATGCTGCCAATTGGCCCAGAGGTTAGAATCTTTGTTTACTTGACATTTAGCTTCAGTCCATATAGGAGGCTGTAGTCTTTAATCTTCTGCAGCAAGCGCCTCAGGTCCTCCTCAGTTTCAGTAAGCAGGGTTGTGTCATCTGTGTAACACACGTTGTTGATGATTCTTCCACCAATCCCGGTTCCACATTCCTCCTCGTATAGCCCAGCGTCTCGGATGATCTGTTCTGCATACAGATTGAAAAGGTATGGAGACAGAGGAATAATTTTTAAAATAACAAGAAAATGGAAGTTTTTCATATTCACACTTATCTCTAGAAATGGCTTGCATATTTATTTTTCCTGTATGAAGTGGGCGGACTAGAGCCATCAGATTCCTGCTGGTTGATTCGAACCACCTGTCTTTCAGTTTGTAGTGCAAACTGCCTACCAGTTATGCCATCAGAGCTCCTTGCTACACTCATAAAGTCGACAGCCTTGAGAAGGAGAAGGGAAGCAAAGATTAGATTACAGCCTTTCCTTAAAGGGGTTAGTTCCACTTGATGAGTTCCATTAACTTGATGAGCATGGGCTTGTATATGGACTTCACCTTGGGAAGGAGTAGTGGCCAGATGTGACTAATAATACAGATTCTCTGTTTCTCAATCTATGTGCTGTTTAAGAGGTATATTCATTCTCTTGGCATAAATCCATGCAAATGTATCTTTCTCATTTAAGCTTTTCTATTTTCTTTTTTTATTATTAGCTTTTTTGAATGCTGAATAAAAGAATTCAAATAGGATAGTATATAGCCCCCTGGGAAGCCTCTATAGAAGGGAAAGTGTTGGATAGAAAAAAGAATTGAGAGAAAGAAGCTGGTCCCTAGAAAGGAACAGGACTTTATTGCATGGTCTGAAAGGGGCAAGCTACCATAAACAGGGAAGGTCAAAATGGCACGAGCGCAGACAAGGACAGTTTCTTTTTATAGGAGTTTTAGGAAGCACTAGGGAAGATAGTATCTTGCTCAGTATTTGGGACAGAGTGTTCTGTCAATTAACTTGGGTGTGGGCTTTTGCATTAGGTCTGAGTCTTATCAGGATCTACTCTTCTGGTCTGGTCACCTAATGAGGAGATAGACATTATCAGGTTTCTTCAATCAGGCCTGGGGCAACTGCAACATTCTTCCTCCACAAAGACCCTAAGGTGTTAAAACAAAACTATAATCTCTCTAGTGACCAATTCCTCCTAGTCTGAGAATTAGTTCTCAGATGAGTAGTGGATTCTGCTGTTATCTTCCATTTTGAAAAGAAGTCTTTTAGCAGCAGATGCAACCAAAACAAAGCGACATCAGCTATTTTATCAAGAATGTTTATTTCTTTGCTGGGAGGTAGTAAATTACAACCCCTACAAAGATCTTTTTTCTTGTTAGTGTTGTCCTTGAAAGAGCGTCTAGTATATGACAAAATTAACACTGCTCAGCCCAGTTCCATCCTCACAATTTCTGCTGTGCGTTGGCCTATCATTACAGACACTGTCCACGCACTTCATCATTGAGGGTGTCTCCTTTGGTCACCCTCCACTTTTCCAAACGTAATGCCTTCTTCAGGGATTGATGCTTGTATATGAGATGAAGCCTCACCATCTTCACTCACCAGGCCCTTTTTACATCACTTGCCCACAAGTGTTTTTCCTCCCAGTGCCTACAATTTGAGAACTTCTCCCCTCGTACCGGAAATAAGCTATTTCCTGTTTGCAATCACATGGAGGTGGGGGGACAACTCCCCAGTCTGTCCTGATCTATTTCTTCGCCCCTTAGAGATAGCAATTTTTCAGCTCCAAATGATAAGAAATAGTGTCCCCAAGGCCCTTTACAGGGGCTGGCAGACAAAAGGAACTCTTAAAACTACTGAGTTCTGGATGCAAATGAAAGGAACTGAAAAAGTTTCGCTAGAGACAATGGAAGGTCAGTTTTATTTAAAACAAAAACAAAAACAAAAAAAGCAACAAAACACTAGAAAAGAAAATCCTTGGTTCCCTATGGCCGAGCCTATGACCAATTACGTAGACACTGAGCTTCGTTCTCTCCATCGATAAAAAAAGAAAATGGAAAGAGCAGCGATTCTTTGGATGACTTGGGTAGAAAATTCCCAGGATTGCACACTTTTTAACAAGGTCGAGTGCTCCTGTGTTAAGAGTTGAGAGCTTTCCAAGTGCCACGCCCCAGTACTTAAAACTCCCCCAGAATTAGGGCTCAAGTCACGCCTCTTTGGAGCTTCCCACTGGTGACGTAATCTCCGGGACTGCTCCGCTTCTCTCTGGAAACCTCCGCCTTCTAGCCCCAAGATCTCCAGTTCCAGCCTTCGGTTATTTTTTTTTTTCGTTGTTGTTTATAGCCTAAATTCCTTCTCATGCTTTCCCTTAAGGCTTTTTAATTCTACCGCCTGCCCTCCAGCTAGTACTTTTGGGTTCTTCCCATTTTCCCTCGGGCAAATTCCTTAAAGTACTTTACTCTCTTAATCGCCTCTCTGCAGCTCTGTCCTGTTGGGGCTTATTTGGACATAGGCCCATTATTCCCACTCAGCATCTTTCGGCTGTTTCCGCCTCCTACTTCGGCCTCTACATCATCTTCGGCTATTTCCGGAAGCTGGCCGGGTCCCCCCTCCACCCCACGTCTAATTCCCGATTATGCTTCGGCTACGCTCGACTTTCCCCCATAACTTGGCATCCTCTCTGTCCTACGCCGCTCCATCAATTTAGGCTCTTGGTCGCTCGCTTCGCCTTTACAACCTTCGGCTTTTGTGGCCTCGGGGCGGGGTGGGGGTGGGGGCTCCTGTGGCCCCTTTCGGCTTTTTCCGCCTCCACCTCGGCCCCAGTCGGCGGTTTCCGCCACGCCTTCGGGCCAGCGCCCTCTGCCCCTCTCCTCCACGTGACACGGCCTCCGCCTCCACCGCCCGGTTCTCCCTCCCACCTCGCCCTTCCTCCCGCTTCAGCCTCTCGGCTCGTCTGGGCCGACCCGCCATTTTGTGTGAATTCCTGACTGCGGCGGGGGCCTGGCAGCCGGGGCGGGCAGACAGACAGACAGACTTGACAGTCGGCCCGTCTCCACGGCCCATTTCCTCTCTTCCCCATAATCCTTTTTTTTTCCCTCTTCGCTGGCTCTCCTCTCTCCCCGCCTTTCCCCCTTCGCTTGCTCCACCGCGCGCGGCTCGCGCTAATTACACCCAACCACCCACCAGTGTCCGTGTCCCCCCCGGGGCTCCCCACTCCCGGGCCCGCGGGTGTGTGTGCGTGTGTGAGGGGCTCTCGCCCCGATGAGGGCCCCATGCCCGTGAGCGAGTGACCGCAGGGGCGGGCTGCGGACAAAGCAGGCGGCGAGCGACCCGCCGAGGCATAGGCCGCGCGGCCTACGCGGAGGTCGGCTCGGAGGTGATTCCGAAACCCAACAAAATATATTATCCGTTCCCATCAGGAGCTCTCAGCCGAAGTGTCCCCATCCCGCCACGCCCAAGCAGTCCTTTTTCGTGCACTTAAATTCCCCCCACCCAAAAAAAAAAAGGAACTATGGAGGCCGCGCCCGGGACCCCCCCGCCGCCGCCATCAGAGTCGCCGCCGCCGCCATCGCCGCCGCCGCCATCAACGCCTTCGCCTCCTCCGTGTTCCCCCGACGCCCGCCCGGCCACCCCGCACCTCCTCCACCACCGCCTCCCGCTCCCTGACGACAGGTCAGGCCCCCGGCCGGGCCGGGGCAGCGTCCCCCGGGGGGAGGAGGAGGAGGAGGAAGGGGGGCAGCCGCCATGTTGGGCCGGGCCGCGGAGGAGGAGGAGGAGGAGGAGGAAGGGCGGGGTCGGTGGGTGTCTCTCGCTCGCTCGCTCTTTTCTCGCTTGCTTTCTCTCCCGGCCTCATGCGTTTTCCCCCCCTCGCGGCGCTCGCCCGCTCTCCCTCGCTCTCGCTCTGTCTTTTTTGGGCGCCATGCTGAGGGGAAGGTGAGGAGGCGCCCCTTGGACCCCCCGCGCCCGCCCGCCCGCCCGCCCTGGGGAGGGGGCGCCGGCGGGGGGGACGGCGGAGGCCCACGGGGGTCCTGGCTGTCCCTGCGCCCCGAGCTGGCAGCCGCGGGTCCGCCCGCCCGTCTCCTGGCTCGGGATGGGGGAGGGGCTCCTGGACCCTTTTTGGGGGGGATTGAGCGAGCACAGCCCCACTCTTAATGGTTTGGAGTTGGGAGGTCTCCCAGTCCCCGGCAGTATCCTTTCTCCTGGGGGAGGTACACCCTGCCCTACATAGAGAGGTAACCCTAGTTTGGTTTTTTTTTTAGGCAGAAAGTAGGGGTTCGCTCAGCCCTTTCTATCCTAATGGTGCCCCTTTGGGTTGGGGGCAGTTCTCGCACTTCTTAATTTTTATTTTGGCGGGAGGTGTTTCAGAGTTATTCCTTAGGGTGCAAAATTGGAGGGGGAAATCTCCCAGTCCTTGTTTTTTTTAATAGAAGCCTCAGTTTTTTTTGAGAGATTCCTCCCCATATATTTCCTTATGGGGAGAAGACCCCCTTTTACTTTTCCTAGGTAGAGGACGTGCGGAAGGGTCCCTAGTCCTTTTTTGGGAGGGTAAGGTTTGGTTTTCCGGCTTTGGAGGAAAAGGAAAGTTGATCTTCATTTTTTTAAAAAAAATTTTTTTTTTTTAAATCCTCATCTTTTTTTGTATGTGGTATCCCCTTCTTTTAGTCTAAAAGGGGTTACCATTCCTTCCGAGCAAGGAAACAAGGTTTCCTTGTACAAAGGCAGAGGCTGAGAGTGTCTCTTACCCTTTTATTAAAGTGCGAAACGGACTCCCCCCACGCCCTTCCCAGGCGGGCGATAATGGGGCCAGCCTAGTGCCTTTTAGGGTGAGGTTGGGGGCCTTCCCGTTTCCTCCAGCTCAAGCAAGCTGCGCCCACCCGTGTCTGGCAGGGTGGGGAGACCCAGGGGCTTTAGCGATGGAAGGAAGGTGTCAGGCGGCAGGAAGGCTAGTCTGGGGTGGGATAGAATGCTCTGGACCGATGGCTGTCTCGTCGCAGCCTGGGCTGGGGAACAGAGAGGACCCTCTTCTAGACTGAGGATCCACCCAAGGCCTCCCCATCCCCTTCTCCCCACTCCCACCTCCCCTTCTCCCTTTCTCATTCACAGACCACACTTTGCCTTTTAAAAGAAATGCCACCCACATTCAGAGACACAAGTGCAGCAGTTTGGTGAGCTTTTACAACAAAAAAAAATTTTTTTTTCTGTTCTGTTCTAATTAAATGTATCGTCTTGGGAATCGCAGCCCATCGCAGCCTGCTTCCAGTTCAAGGAAATAAACAGATTAGCAAAGGTCTGTTGGCTAAGCCCACATCGGGTTCCTGGCCCCCCTCTCTGGGGCAGGTGCATTACCCAAAGGTTTACTCGACCTCTAAGGAGTTCTCTTATGTCAGAAGTGTATGTCTTACAATGGGTTGGGATGGTAAGTAGCCTCTTTTATTTAGTAATTCAATTACCTCCCTCTTTTTGTCCCTTTTCCTGCCTGCTTTCCTCGCCTTTAGACCAAAGTGATGCTTAAGAAAGTGAATTTATGTGTTCAAAATCAGGAGTCTAATAATCCTCTCGAGCCCTTTTAGACTTGCACATCCTTTACAGTTTAATATTTTAAATTTTACCGTACACAGTTTCTTAAAAAAAAAAAAAAAAGTGCATTACTGTAACATGACAAAAGCCTATGTTTTAAAACAAACCCAAAAAAGGCCCTTAGGATTTCAGACCATTGGCATCTCTCCATTGCTTTGTCTCCAACCTTCATCTTTGAAGAAAAGTCTATTTGTAGGAGACAAGCTTATTAAATTTGATTGATAGTACTTGCATCCAAGTTAATATTGATACCCACCCAAAGAAAAAGTTGTGGTTCAAATAGCTCAGATTCCTCATTTTTCTGCACTGTCTCACAGTAATGGATGTTTAAATTGAGCAAGTCATTTGTAACGTACTGTTTAAGCACAAAATCTGTAAAAACTGTGTCAAGACCCATCTCTTCCCCTCGCCTGTCTCCACTCCTTTGTTTGAAAAAGCACATGTCTCTGACAGTGAAAAGTGGATGTAAATGAGTTACAAGCCCCAGTCCTGGTGGGGAAGACACTTCCTCCAGCCCCCCCCCCCCCAGTTCACCCCCTACACGTAACCCAGGGGGTAAAAAAAGCAAACAGCGGCAGAAATGACTTGCAGAATCAAATGTTATACTTCCAATGTGTTTTTCAAGCATAAGTTTCTCCACCCAAAGCCCCCAAACACGTTGAAGTTCCTTCAGTTTTCCATCTTGGCCCACTTTCAGTTGCTGACATAACTTCGTACGATCAAGCTTTCCCCCCTGCCACACACACAAGCCATTTCCCTCAAAAAAGTCAGCTTCTGTTTCCTCTTCCATTCTGACCAGAAGCAAAGTTCACTCACACAGAGATGAGGAAACACCAGAGCTGGCAATTGACGCCACTTGTTTTGTTCTTCCTCTTAATCTGTTCGCCACTTAACTGCCAAGAAACTGGTATTGGAAAATCAGTTACAGGGGAGGAAATGACCATGTCTGCCCAGCACAATGTCCTGAAGGAAGAAAAAAAAAAGTGTCCAAAGCACAAATGAACACACAAACCAGTCACTTTGCAAAAGCAGCTGAAAGCATATGTCTCAAGTTTCCTGTCCTTTCTGAAATTCCCTCTCTAGGAACCAAGAACCCAAACTGGATGCTAAATGGACCAACCTTCCAAGGTTCAAATGCTCTGAAGTTGTAGAAGGACGCGTCCTTAAAAAAAATGTACGTTTGCAGTGAAATGTTGAAGGAAATTGAGTTGTTCACTCCCAGCCCCCATAAATTGAAAACCAGCTTTCAGCCAAGCTGGAGTTAGAATTTTCCCCCAATGTTTTTTGAAAGTTTTTATTCAGCCTTAATCACACATAAGAGTTACTGTTTTCTGTGCTTGAGGAAATCTCATCCATCAAGTCCAAGAAGCCCCAGTAATCTGTCAAACTATTTTAGTAATTGCTGGTTTTGATATGTCACAGTACTGCCTTTTCCCCCCCCCTTCTTCCCAAACTGATGTACCAATGTTAATATCAAATCAATGGATGTTGCAAAAAAAAAGGATGTCACTCAAAATTCCTGATTTAAGCAAATTTTAAAATGCTCATATCCTTTGAAATTATTGTGTTTTTTTTTTTTTTTCTGGATGCAGCATTTAATCTGAAAACAAGTCCAGAAAAATCTCCCAGTGGTTACAAAATGATTTGTGACCATTTGGGTCATTATGACTCTTTTTTTTTTTTACTACCCACTTCAGTCCCTTGTATGCTCTTCAAAGCAAAAAAAATTAGAATTCCCTAAAAGGGCTTCTGATTCAATTTGTTGTGCCTTCTTGAGATTTCTCTTTGCTCTAAGCATTTAAAATTTTGATTCTTTTCAAGCTCAGTGTGTTATTATTTAGAAACAACTACCACCAGCCAAGAAACTAGCTTTGAGAATGCCACTGCTGAGGCATTGCTTCAGTTGGGAGGCCTGGTCCCAGGGGAAAAATTGTTTATCACCTGTGGAAATGAGGCTTTCCTGGCTGTTCACTGTGAGGTGTTGGAGATGAGCAATTGACTGAGCTGGTCTGTTCCCTGTCAATGTAGGCAATTTGGTGTGGGGCTGGGTTAGTAATTTATCAGCTAAGAATGTCTCCTCTGCTCTTTGCTCTTAAGATAGGTCTCTAATCTCTTCCCTTCCTGGTGGGAGAGAAATGGTTGGCTCTGGTCTGCCTTCTGACTTTACGCCTATTACGTTCTTTTGGTTGTCAAGTCCCTAGAAACATCTTGATAGGCCAGATCCTGTTACAGTAAATACCTCTGTGGCTCAAATCACTAATGAAGCAATTTCCAGGGCTCTCTGGATGGATGGTTCCAGGTCAAACATCTTCCAGAGAAGTCAGTTTTGGAGGTTTCTGGCCTGTAGTAGGAGGTGGAATGATAGGGCAGAAGATTTCTGTGTGAGTTGTGAAATAGCCAAGCTTTGTGGCACTCACCTGTACCCTGACAGGCGGACTGCTGGCACCAGAGGAGAAAAGTGATACCTATGGAAATTTCTGACTTTTGATGTTTAATCAGCCCATTCAAGGACTTGGTGGGAGTCCTCTCTCTCAGGTCAAACTAAATGGTTTGAGCCCAGGTTCCTAGTTAACGGGATAGTAGGGGCTGAGACAATCTGTCAAGTTGTCTCAAGTCAATTTGAATGTTAAGTTAAAGAGTGTTTGGGGGGGATAGGATTGGCTTTCCAAATTGTCAGGCCTCCTCTTTGCTGCAGGCCGGTTGTTTGTGGCATAGATTTGTAGTTGGCCAAAGTTTTTTGTGTTGATTTAGGAAGGAGGTGAGATTAAGTGGTGGAGAGTCTTAAAAATAGATTTCTGGCACATCACCCATGGGGGTGACTTAGTTGATGGATACAAACGAAGCCATGGTGGCGTCCTTCTTGGGGTGGACTTGGTCACCTCTTGTTGCATTTTTTTTTCTGTTTTGGTATCAAAACACACGATGTTGGCTCTGAGCACCGTGTGTTCCTCCTGGATAAATTGCTCTGGATATAGGCTCACTCTTGGGTGTGTTTTTTGGTCATTTTTTTGTCCCTGTGAATTGGTGACTCAGCTCCCGATTTGTTAGGTGAGTGGTGACATCTCCTATTGGAACACTGGAGGTGGCAACAGGAT